TGGACAGCGAATGAATGGAACAGCGAAGCAATAAAAACGCGAAAAATCCCAAAGTCTCCTAAATTTCACCTGTGAGGAATTTCCTTGTCCAGTCCGTGTTTCTTACTAGATAGGAGCCAGCCATGACCTTCCAGTTGAAGAAACGGTAGTAGAATATTATATCCGCTTGCGGATCAATGAAGTCCTCGATCAGCCTTAATTCTTTTTTTAGACCATGCAAACAGCTACGGTTGTCTGCCTTTCAAAATTCTTGTGAATCTACCTGCACTGCACCTTTTCTCGTTGACCGATTGGAGACAATTTAAATGCTTTTGGGATGCGTGCCCGGTTTAGCTTGCCTAAATGGTCTTCTCCTTGGGACAGTCACCCGGTACTATGTGAATTATAATGGTAGAGAATCATCTCTCATCTCTACTAATCAGTCATCAAGAATCTCCTCTCTGACGATAGCGGGGAAGAGCAAACTGACAAATGATTGAGAGTATCTGCGTGCACTGCGTGCCATCTGTAGGTATGAGAGATCCATCGAGCCAGTACTATTTGATAATCGAGGGCTGACAGTTGGCGGCTGTCTTTTAGGTACAGCCGAGTCTTGGAGCAAGATTGTAGTTTCTAGGAGGCAGAATTCGCTATGATAGCGTTGAAAGTTTTTCATGGAGGCGTCCCGACCGAGGTTCGACTTCGAAGACTGATTTCCGACCGACGTTTCCTTTTGTGCAATGCAGCGGTGGACGGTGGTATCGTGGTTGGACCCAGAGAAGAGCAAGCGCTTTAGTGTAGCTCTTGCGAGAAGGCTGCAAGAATGTTCTACAAGTACAACATGTTACGATATGTTCAAGCATCAGAAAGCAAAAGCTCTAAACTGTTCGTGAACAATTCACACTTAAAATTGAAAAAAGTAGTGCTTTTACTAGTGTGAGTGGATATCGCCCAAATTCGAAGAATCAGTGAGATAGGCATGTTTTGCATTCGAGCAAAGGATGTAAAAATAAAATTGCTGGTTACCTGAGAGGTCAACGCCTGGATGCCAGAAGGGAGCTAAGCTGTTAGCTGTGTTCCCACATCTTGAGAACAGGAAACGTG